ACTCCACTCTCCATCTCTCTTTCCTACTGGCATCCTTTTCTTGACTTATGAAACATCTTCATCTGATTTCCAAGAATATTAATATTCACTTTTTAGAAACATTGTTTTCTACATCTAGCTTTCCTTCAAGTTTGTTTCCTCTTTCCTTCCTTCCTTACTTTTCTTGTCTCTCTCTCATTCCCTCTCTTTTTTTCCTTTTCTTTGTCTTTTGGTATTTTCTCTCATACTGACATTTCCTTCTTAAAAGTCCTTGGCTAATAGTTCACATTAAAGAGTTAGGCACTGAAAGAGTTACTTGGAACTGTCTGCCAGCTTGTTAACCTGCAGTTCACTTGTTGGGTTATCTGACACAGGTGACCTTCTCACTACAGGATTTCACTGGTGTATTGATTTTCACCACGTTCTCAACTATTTTCCACCCTGGACTTTGTAGTATACCAGAGGCCCTCGGGTCTGGTCCAGCTTGCCTACAGCAGTACTGCCCCAAAGAAATTTCTATGATGATGGAAATGTTCTACCTCTGAGCTATAAATACTGTAGTTACTAGCCACACTCCTACTGAGCCCCTGAGATGTGGCTTGTGCAACTGAGAAACTGTATTTTTTATTTTATTTAATTTTTGCTAATTTAAATAGCCCCAAAAGCCATACAGGGCAGTGCAGCACAAGAGAATAAGCCTCCAGCATCCCATTTTGGCAGATAGGTACAAGGAAGTTACCTGGACACATAGAATAGGGAAGGAGATAAAAATACAGAGTTTCATAGCAAGGTTTCAGAACTTTAGATTTTAATTCATAAATTCTAAGCTCTGGAATCTAACATTTTTACTATTAACATATATGAAGTCAAACAGAAAAGAAGATGAAGAAACAGTGGACAAACAAGGAGTGCAGGAAAAGAATGTTGCTTTACTCTACATCACAAACTTTGCCATATTTTTCACTGCTGATTTTTTTTGTTGTCGTTTGTTTTGAGACGGACTCTCACTCTGTTGCCAGGCTGGAGTGCAGTGGCGAGATCTTGGCTCACTGCAACCTCCACCACCCGGGTTCAAGCGATTCTCATGCCTCAGTCTCCCAGGTAGCTGGGATTACAGGCACGCACCACCATGCCCAGCTAATTGTATTTTTAATAGAGACAGGGTTTTGCCATGTTACCCAGGCTGGTCTCAAACTCCTGAGCTCAGGCAATCCGCTCGCCTCGGCCTCCCTAAGTGCTAAGATTATAGGCATGAGCCACCGTGTCCAGCATTCACTGCTGATTTTAAATCCCTTTTATTAATGCTGTAATTCTAACTAAATGATAGAACACTAATTTCAATGAAACAGATTATCGAAGTCTCTGCTTTTGCTCATTCCAACAAAGTGACATTCTAGTTACTTACTCTGTCTCCAGGTTTAAGCAGAGGTTCGTTCTTACTTGTCAGTTTATTAAGTAGAGTATAAGCTAGTTTTAAACTCCGACTCCAAAGTTTACCTAAAACAAAATAAAAACACTAAGCAATGTAAAAGTTAAGAAACAAATAGTTAACATTTTAATGTAGAAACCAAAATACCCCATAACATACCATTATCCCATTAGTGGAAATTTAGGTAGTTTCCATCTAACAACTATTCTGCACAATGTTATAAGGAACATCATTGTTGGCTCTTAAAAATAACTCACAGATTTATTTTTCTTAATACAAAAACAAAACAGGATTTTATCATAGAAAATCTGGACTACAGAAGAGCCACCAGAGGCCGGGTGCGAGGGCTCACACCTGTAATCCCAGCACTTTGGGAGGACGAGGCGGGCGGATCACTTGAGGCCAGATGTCTGAGACCAGCCTGGCCAACATGGTAAAACCCCATCTCTGCTAAAAATACAAAAAATTAGCTCAGCGTGGTGGCATGCGCCTGTAACCCCAGCTACTCGGGAGGCTGAGGCACAAGAACTGCTTGAACTTGGGAGGTGGAGGTTGTAGTGAGAGCCAGCCTAGGCAACAGAGACACTATCTAAAAAAAGAAAAAAAAAAAGCCAGCAGAAAAAAGTCAGTATTTGGTATACATATGTATATGTACATATGTGTGCACACATATACGACTATACACATACAAGCACGTATACATGTCTGCATAATTTTCAAGAAATGAGAGACTTCACCCTACTTTTCAAATTAATACTGCAGTGTAAATGGATTTTCATGACATTAAATATTCCTCAATTACATCATTTGTAAGAGTAGCACATAATTCATTTAATCTTCACAACAATTCATGAAATGGGTCATATCTTTATTTTAACATGTTAAATTCCCAATTTAATACGTTAAATTTAAGATGTTAAAATACTAGGCATCCCCAAAGAGAAGTTCCCCTGACCAAAAATCAAGAGACAATATAAACAAAAGCAACAGATCCAAAGGTGATCCAGGTATCAATGCCATCCATTCTTTACTTGGAAAGCCATCGGGACTTCACGCCAGGCACAGGGCCCAGGAACCAGCTCTTACTCCGAGGTCCTTCCCATCACACACCCTCCTGGCCCAGCTGCTGCTATCATTCATAAGCACTCAGTAGGGAGAACCAGCTCTTACTCCGAGTCCTTCCCATCACACCCTCCTGGCCCAGCTGCTATGTTCATAGCACTCAGTAGAGGAGAACCAGCTCTTACTCAAAGTCCTTCCCATCACACACCCTCCTAGCCCAGCTGCCTTACTCCGAGGTCCTTCCCATCACACACCCTCCTGGCCCAGCTGCTGTGTTCATAAGCACTCAATAGGGGAGAACTTCACTGAGGAAGACAGGATACCAGAGAAAGGAAAAGCCTAGAGGACTGGGGGTGTTGGGAGAGGATGACACGAGGCAGGGGTGACCATGGGACAGGAAGACTGAGAAATATGAGTCTAAGCCCCACACCTGCAGGAGCCTTAACACACCCCCACCAAGCAGCCTATCAAAGAAGCAACACAAAGTCATCATTGAGCCCTTCAAGTCCCTGCAGTACAACTGCAAGCAGGTTGAGCGGCCATGCCCTGCAAGTGAGCGCTCAATTTCCCGTGTAATAAGATGAAGCCCAGGTGCAACACTATGAAATAAGTGAACTGGGGGACCTGAGAAATGAACGAGGAAAAAAAAATACCAGACCAGGCATGGTGACTCATGCCTTTAATCCCAGCACTTTGGGAGGCCGAAGTGGGTGGATCATCTGAGGTCAGGAGTTCGAGACCAAACTGGTCAACATGGTGAAACCCCATCTGTACTAAAAATACAAAAAATTATCTGGGAGTGGTGGCACATGCTGTAATCCCAACTACTCAGGAGGCCGAGGCAGGAGAACTGCTTGAACCCAGGAGGCAGAGGTTGCAGTGAGACAAGACCGTGCCGCTGTCCTCTAGCCTGGGCAAGAGTGAGACTCCCTCTTAAACAAAGACAAAACTCAACTCAAACCACTGTTCCAGCCTATTTTAAAAAGTCAATTTAAGGTGTTAATAATTGTAATGCACAAAGAATTTCAAACTGAATTCAGCTGTACATAAAAAGAATAATGCATCATGACCAAGTCAGTTTTATCCCAGGAATGTAAAGAGGTTCAACAGAAAATCAACATAATTTGCCACATTAACAAAATAAAGGTGAAAAATAAAACAATCATATCAATAGATGGAAGAAAATAAAAGCAATTGAAATCATTCATGACTTTAAAATGATTTTAAATGATTTTTGAAATCCTTCTTAAACTCAGAAAAGGAAATATACTGCCTTAATGTGAAAAGGAGCATCTTTAGAAATCCAATAGGAAATAGCATAATGGTTGGATATTGAAAGCTTCCCCTCTGAGAGAAGTAAGCTAAGGATGTCTGTTTTCAGCATTTTGCTGAAAGGCTTAGCCCATGCAAAAGCGGAGAAAAAGCTGAACAACTGGAAATGTAACTACCATTATTTGCAGATGACATGATGATGTAGTTTATGAATCTTCCATAACTGAATTCAGCAAGGCTGCCAAATGTATCAACATAAAAACACAATTTGATCTCTACATACTAGCAATAAAGAGTAAATAGGCCGGGCGCAGTGGCTCACACCTGTAATCCCAGCACTTTGGGAGGCTAAGATGGGCAGACTGCCTGAGCTCAGGAGTTCAAGACCAGCCTGGGTGAGATGGTGAAACCCCGTCTCTACTAAAATACAAAAAATCAGGAGGGTGTGGAGGTAGACACTTGTAATCCCAGCTACTCAGGAGGCTGAGGCATGAGAATTGCTTGAAGCCAGGAGGCGGAGGTTGCTGTGAGCCAAGATCGTGCCACTGCACTCCAGCCTGGACAACAAAGCAAAACTCTGTCTCAAAAAAAAAAAAAAAGTAAATAAAAATTTTTGATGAAAGTATCCACCGCAAAATTAAAACACATACACACTAAGTACCTGAGACTGTCACAAGAAATATGCAAAATCTCCCCACAGAAAATTACACATTACTGAGATAAAGTAAAAAATATTTGAATGGAGGGACAGATGTTCAAGGGCTGGAAGACTCAGTAATGGAAAGGTGGTCGGGTGCGGTGGCTCACGCCTGTAATCCTAACACTTTGGAAGGACTAGGCAGGTGGATCACCTGAGGTCTGGAGTTCGAGACCAGTCCTGGCCAACATGGTGAAACCCCATCTCTACTAAAAATACAAAAAATTAGCCGGGCGTGGTGGCGGCGCCTGTAGTCCCAGCTACTCAGGAGACTGAGGCAGAAGAATCACTTGAACCTGGGAGGCGGAGGTTGCAGTGAGCTGAGATCACGCCATTGCACTCCAGCCCAGGCAATAAGAGCGAAACTCCATCTCAAAATAATACTACTAATAATAATAACAACAACAACAACAATAATGAAAAGGCATTAATTCTCTTTAGACTCATTCAAAGCAATGCTCATAATCTCAGTAAGTATACTGTGACACCTGACAAGCTCATTCTAAAGTGGATCCTGAAATGCATAGGGTAAGAATTGCTAAGACACTCTTTTTTTTTTTTTTTAATATGGAACACTTCACAAATGTGTGTCATCCTTGCACAGATACCACGCTCTTCTCTGCATCATTCCAGTTTTAGTGTATGTGCTGCCACAGTGAGCATGCAAGATGCTCTTGAAGAAGAAAACAAGACGGCAGGCTTTCGCTACAGATGTCAAGACTTACTATAAAACTACAGCAATCAAGAGAGTGTGGTATGGGCACAAAGACAGAATATAAATCAATGAAATAAAACAGAGAACAGCAAAACAGATCCACCCGTGTGTGGACAACTCACTGATGACTCATGTGCCACCACAGAGGAGTGGGGCAAGGGCTGTCTTCTCCTTAGATAAGAATGGGACAGCTGGTTATCCTTCTTTAGCAATGAGCCCTGGAAGCCAGTCCCACACCATTCACAAAAACACATTCCAGGTGAATGGCAGACCGAAATGTGAACAGCAAAACAACAGCATTTTCCCAAACTAATGGAATAACATTTTAATCTCAGCCAAGAGAAACAGTACTTAAGGAGAACACAAAAAGCAAAAATCGGGCCAGGCATGGTGGCTCACGCCTGTAATCCCAGCACTTTGGGGGACCAAGGCAGGTGGATCACCTGAGGTCAGGAGTTCAAGACCAGCCTGGTCAACACAGTGAAACCCTGACTCTACTAAAAATACAAAAAATTAGCCGGGCCTGGTGGTGTACGTCTGTAGTCCCAGCTACTTGGGAGGCTGAGGCATAATAATCGCTTGGTCTGGAAGGCAGAGGCTGCAGAGAACCAAGATCACGCCACTGCACTCCAGCCTATGCAACAGAGTGAGACTCTGTCTCAAAAAACAAACAAAACAAAACAAAAAAGCAAAAAGCAAAAATCATGCAAGAAAAGATGATGATGGATAGAACTTCTGTTCACTAAGCTACCATTAGTGGAAAGCCAGCCACAAAGTGGGAGAGAGCTCTTGCAAGGTATTACTGACAAAAGGCTGGTATCCAGAATATAATATAAAAAAATTCCTATAAATGATTCTATATTAGAAAATGTGCAGCTGCTCTGCCTAGGGAGTAGCCATTCTTTTATTCCTTTGCTTTCTTAATAAACTTGCTTTCACTTTACTATATTGACTTGCCCTGAATTCTTTCTTGCACAAGGTCCAAGAAGCCTCTCTTGGGGTCTGGAACAGGATCCCTTTCTGGTAACATCTTCCCGGTGAATTCCAAAGGGGTAATACTGAGGAGACCCCCGACCCGAAGGAAGTAAGACCATAGCACCAAATGGCCGACTTTGGGTAAGTGGGGTGCATTTACCGGGGTAAAGGATGGAATTGGGTTAGAGGCCCAACTTAGGGGAGTCAGAATTTCTCCTAAGACAGAGTGGGTTAAAGGCCCCTCTTTTTTTTTTTTTGAGACGGAGTCTCGCTCTGTCGCCCGGGCTGGAGTGCAGTGGCTGGATCTCAGCTCACTGCAAGCTCCGCCTCCCAGGTTTACACCATTCTCCTGCCTCAGCCTCCCGAGTAGCTGGGACTACAGGGGCCCGCCACCTCACCCGGCTAGTTTTTTGTATTTTTTTTAGTAGAGATGGGGTTTCACTGTGTTAGCCAGGATGGTCTCGATCTCCTGACCTTGTGATCCGCCCGTCTCGGCCTCCCAAAGTGCTGGGATTACAGGCTTGAGCCACTGCGCCCGGCCAAAGGCCCCTCTTAATAAAAGGCAAGGGCACTTGAACAAACCTGGGTTCGAGGCCCAACTTGGGAAGGTTACAGTCCTTCCTAAGATACAAGGGGTTAGAGGCCCCCCTTCAGTAAAGTCCCTCTCGGCCAAGAATGGATCTGGCACTACAGAATGTTAACCACTATTCTCTTTGGATTAATCTGCCTTGCACTCTTTGCTGACCACTTTGGGTGACAAGGTTAGGCATGTACAGGATCATGGAACATGGGAGCACTTTTTCTCCCCAAAAGGGGAAACTCCAGAGCTGATGGGACTGCTGGAAAAGATCCCTTCATTACTGACAAGTGGCCACCTGAACTTTTGATTCAGTGTCGCTGCAATGGGTGGGTCTTTCTCTGGCATCCCTGAGCTCCTCACCTTCCCCATCCTGCTATAGGCAATGCTTTTCTCCCTTTCTCTTTTCCATCTTCTCTGTTACTCAGGGCACCTGTCTGCTCCTTCATCTTGCCCAGAGACCACATGTTGAAAAATGTCCTTGGGAGTTGACTTGTAACCACATGGAGGTACTTTCTCTTGGTTTCCACCATCGAGCGAACAGCAATTTGAGGGTTCATGTTGTAGTTAGTTCTAAAGGTTATCTCGAGCAGTTAAAAGCCTTTGCAAGCTCAGAATTGGATGCTCTGGACTTCTGGGAATAGTCCAAGTGCCCAATACTACAGCTCATTGGCTAAGGTTTATTGTTTTCACCTAGGAGGTTACCTTTGGTAAAGTTCCAAACTCAGACATATTGGCCGTAAATCCTGGCTGAAGTTGGGTAATAAGAGATTGAAAAGGACTTTTTTAAAAAAGCACTATGGGCTGGGTGCAGTGGATCATGCCTGTAATCCCAGCACTTTGGGAGGCTCACATGGGTGGATTACAAGATCAGGGGTTCAAGACCAGCCTAGCCAACATGAAGAAACCCCATCTCTACTAAAAATACAAAGAAAAAAAAAAATTAGCCAGGTGCACACCTGTAATCCTAGCTACTCAGGAGGCTGAGGCAGGAGAACTGCTTGAACCTGGGAGGCAGAGGTTGCAGTGAGCCAAGATCATGCCACTGCACTCCAGCCTGGGCGACAGAGTGAGACTCCACCTCAAAAAAATTAAAAAAAAAATAAATAATAATAAAAAAATTAGCTGGGCGTGGTGGCTCATACCTGTAATCTCAGCACTTTGGGAGGCCGAGGCGGGTGGATCACCTGAGGTCAGGAGTTTGAGACCAGCGTGATCAACATGGAGAAACCCCGTCTCTAATAAAAATACAAAATTAGCCGGACATGGTGGTGCATGTCTGTAATCCCAGCTACTCGGGAGAATCCTGAGGCAGGTGAATCGCTTGAACCAGGGAGACAGAGGTTATGGCGAGCTGAGATCGCGCCACTGCACTCCAGCCTGGGCAACAAGAGCAAAACTCCATCTCAAAAAAAAAAAAAAAAAAAAAAATTTAATTAATTAAAAAAATAAAAAAATAAAAGAGCACTATAGTTAAAAGTCAGCTTAAAAGCAGATATTCAAGGTTTAACAGCCTGAGACTCCTAGGGGGAAACAGAGGAGGCACCACAGACCCCATTTTGGGAAGAACCTCTGTTTTCCTCATGAAATCCCAGGAATTTAAAATTTAAAATCTCAAAATCTAAGGCTCTGCTCTGTTGTGCAGCACTGTGTTATGTGACGGTTTTGACTTCACATTCTGAGAGAGCTTTGGTATAGTAACCAGGTAGGAAATATACTTTGGAGGTAGCTAATGGCAGTTGTAGGGGAATACACAGCTCTTTGCATGTGTGGATCAGTTCTTTGCATGTGTGAAAAAAGTGTAAGTATAACTGGAGTCCCAGAAGGAGAGAAGAAAAAAATGAGGAAGAAGCAATATAGGAAGAGAAGATGGCTGTAATTTTTCTCAAACAGATAAAAGACACTATTCTACAGATTGAAGAAGCCCTGTGGACATCTTGAAAATTTCAAAGAACATCACAGGAAATGCTCAAAGAACATCACCTCTAAATATGTCATAGTAAGATGGCTGCAATTCAAAGAAAAAGAACATTTTTTTAAGCAGCCATACACATTACTGTCAAGAGAGTAACAATGGTCTGGCATCTTCTCAAAAGCCAGTAACAATACCTTTGCACTGCTGAAAGAAGATAAATAACCATGAAATATAACCTTCAAAAATGAAGTTGCCAGCAAACCTACAGTATAATGAACATACAGGAAGTTCTACAGGCCAGAAGGAAATGATTACCCAGGAAAATATAGAATCTCAGGAAGGAATGTATATAGTAAAAGAATAGAAATGTACGACTGATTAAAAACACAAACAAACGAAAAACAATGGGCCGGGCATGGGAGCTCACGCCTGTAATCCCAGCACTCTGGGAGGCTGAGGCGGGCAGACTGCTGGAGCTCAAGAGTTTGAGACCAGCCAGGCCACACGGCGAGACCTCGACTATACTAAAAATACAAAAAAGTACCCGAGCATGATGGTGTGTGCCTGTGGTCCCAGATACTAGGGAGGCTGAGGTGGAAGGATTGCCTGAGCCTGCGGGGTGGAGCTTGCAGTGAGCCGAGCTCACGTCCCTGCACTCCAGCCTGGGTGACCGGGCACAACCTTGTCTCAAAAAAAAAAAAAATAAACACAATGGTAGTGATATCTTACACTTTGTATATAAATGCAGACAAACTACAAGCCAAGGAGAACGTTAAAAAAAAAAAAAAAACAACGTGTGTCACAGGCTGGGTTCTTCGCAAAGCAGACGCTGAGACAGGCTCAGGCATGCAAAAGGATTACTAGAGAATACAAATCTGTGACAGCAAAAGACAGGTAGCAAGACTGGGCAGGAGGAGCTGTCAAGCCACAATGTAGAACTCACAGTCTGACAAGTCCAGTGCTGTTTATAAGGAAAGTCCATGCTAACAGAAAGTAGGCCCTTGTCCCACTGCCTTACTTGGCCATCGGCCAGGGACTGCCCTGCCAATAGCATGACCTAGATTTGAACGCTGATTTAACAGTTGGAGGTTGTGAGCTAGCCATACTCATCAAAGGCTGGCAATGAGCACCTTTCTTAAAGAATTACAGAACAATTTTTCTAATGAAAACAGATGTAAAAATCCTAAACAACTTATTGGCAAATCAAATCTGGGTGTATAGCTAAAAGGGTAAGATATTATAGCCAAGTGGGATTTATTCTACAAATGAAGGGCTGCTTTACATTAGAAAATTAATCAAAATAATTCACCAAATTAATGAAGGAGGAAAACCATATGATCATCTTGCTAGCAGCAGAGAAAGCATTTGACAAAATTCAGTCCCAACTCATGATAACAACTTTTAACAAACAAGGAGAAGGGAACCTTCTTAATCTGACAGAGTTTCTACCAACAAACAAGCAAACAAAACTACAGAAAACA